TGGATGGGTTTGGGGCTGGGGGGGTTCGGGGGGTTCTTTTGGGGTGTCGAACTCTGGGGCTGAGGGGGATCTTCGGGGTCTTTATGGGGTTATTCTTGGGGAGGGGTGGGACTCTTGGGGAGGGGTTTTTGAGTTTCCTGAGGGAATTTTGGGGGATTTGGAGCTTCCTGGGGGTGTCTCAGGTGCCCTGGGGGCAGTCTGGGCCCAACTTTTCCCTGGAATAACCGGATTCCGAGCTTTCCTTTCCCTGTGAAACCCCTGGGAATGCACGGTGGGGGGGGGGACCTGAGAGCCCCAAAATTCCCAAAAAAAAAAACCCAAAAAGAAGTGGGAGCGGGGCGGGGAGGGAGAAGTTTGTCGGTGCCAGGGAAATCCGATTCCCGTTCCCGTCCGGTGACTCACCGGGGGTGGGAACAGCTCCCGGGGATCCCGAAATCCCAGAAAGATCCCAAAAAGGGCCCGGGAGCGGCAGCAGAGCCACGGGGATTGCGGGGCGAGCGGGGATGGGGCCGGGGAAAGGGCTGGAAAACCGGGAATCCGCCGCCTCCGAGGCTCTTTTTGGGATCAAAAAGCCGATTTCTGGCTTTTTGGAGCCGGCGTTTTTCCCGTTTCCTGGCTTGTGCTGAGCCTGGCGGAATTGCTGGGAGAATCCAGCCCTTTACCCCACCTTTTTTCAGCTCCAAATCGCTTTTTTCACCTCAAATTTTGGGCTCAGGTCCGTAAGGATTCCATCTGGGAAGGAGTTCCTTGCTCCTCGCTTTTCCCTGGAAGGATTTAAGGCCTGATCCCTGGTTTTCTGGCTCTTTATCCATCTTTATTTCTGGAATTTGGAGCCAGAAACCCCAGGAGAAGCGGTGTGTGCGGGTGGGATAATTCAGTTTTTGTGCTTTGTAGCATTTCCCCCTGTTTTTGTAGGATTTTCCCTCTTTTTCTGTGGTTTTCCTGTGCTTTTCTGGGATTGATCCTCTCTGAGCGTGGATTTTCCTTTCTTTTGGCAGGATCCAACACCTTCAAAAAGTCCCTGACTCCTGAGGTGAGTTCCAGGCTGGAAAAATCCCAAATTTCAGCTTTTCCTGCTCCTTTTCCTCATTTTCCTACTCTTTTTCCAAGCCTGCCTTGACCCTGAGCAGCTCCTCCCATGGCAATTTTGGGAATTTACCCTTCCCGAGGGAATTCCTGTTCCAAAACCCAAATCTATCCTGGCACCACCCCCCAAAACCCCTGGAAAAATTCAATTTAACAACTCCTGGATGAATCCTGGGATCCCTGGGCTGGGAATCACTGCATTGGGATTTGCACCTTTCCCAAAATTTCTCCTAAAACATTGGAATTACCGTGGGAAAAACCCAGCCCAGCTTTCCATGGATTCCAGGTGTTTTTGGGTGGGAAAAATCCTGTTAAAAAGTTGAATTTTCCACTTTTCTTTCTCTCTTCCCCTTTTTTCTTTTCCCAAGATGCCGGGAGGATCCCAAACCATCCGGAAAGGTCACAGAGGAGTGGATTCCACGGGAGAAACCACCTACAAAAAGGTAAATTCCCACTTTTTTCCCTGTTTGCAAGGAATGCTGCCCAGGATCGCTGTGGGAATGGGAGGAGATTCCATGGAAATGAAGGAAAAAGGGAATTTTTTGGGGGGCTTTTTTCCCATTTCAATTCTCATCCAATTCCCATTCCCACTGGATTTCTATTCCTGAGTTTCTCTCATTCCCGTGGAATTCTTGCAATTCCCGTTGAGTTCCACCTGTTCCCATTGAATCTGTCCATTCCCACTGAGTTCCCACTGAACTCCTGTTACCTTTCCCACCAAATCCCCTCCATTCCCACTGCACTCCAGCCACTCCCAGCCTCATTCCTGGCTGGAATTCCAGTTCCCAGCCCCATTCCCATTCCAGCTGTAATTCCCATTCCCCCCCATTCCCAGTGGAATCCCCCCTGTTTTCCACATTCCCATTCCCGCCTCCGTCCCCACTGTGAACCCCCATTTCCCTGTTCCTGGCTGTAATTCCCATTCCTGTTCCCACTGTAACCGTCCCCTTTCCCCATTCCCATTCCCAGCTGTAACCAAACCATCCGGAAAGGTCACAGAGGAGTGGATTCCACAGGAGAAACCACCTACAAAAAGGTAAATTCCCACTTTTTTCCCTGTTTGCAAGGAATGCTGCCCAGGATCGCTGTGGGAATGGGAGGAGATTCCATGGAAATGAAGGAAAAAGGGAATTTTTTGGGGGGCTTTTTTCCCATTTCAATTCTCATCCAATTCCCATTCCCACTGGATTTCTATTCCTGAGTTTCTCTCATTCCCGTGGAATTCTTGCAATTCCCGTTGAGTTCCACCTGTTCCCATTGAATCTGTCCATTCCCACTGAGTTCCCACTGAACTCCTGTTACCTTTCCCACCAAATCCCCTCCATTCCCACTGCACTCCAGCCACTCCCAGCCTCATTCCTGGCTGGAATTCCAGTTCCCAGCCCCATTCCCATTCCAGCTGTAATTCCCATTCCCCCCCATTCCCAGTGGAATCCCCCCTGTTTTCCGCATTCCCATTCCCGCCTCCGTCCCCACTGTGAACCCCCATTTCCCTGTTCCCGGCTGTAATTCCCATTCCTGTTCCCACTGTAACCGTCCCCGTTCCCCATTCCCATTCCCTCTGTAACCCCCATTCCCCCATAACCCTGTCCTGTCCCCGCTGCGATTCCCGTCCCTGCTGTTCCCATTCCCATTCCCCCATAACCCCATTCCCTCTGTAACCCCCATTCCCCCATAACCCTGTCCTGTCCCCGCTGCGATTCCCGTCCCTGCTGTTCCCATTCCCATTCCCCCATAACCCCATTCCCTCTGTAACCCCCATTCCCCCATAACCCTGTCCTGTCCCCGCTGCGATTCCCGTCCCTGCTGTTCCCATTCCCATTCCCCCATAACCCCATTCCCTCTGTAACCCCCATTCCCCCATAACCCTGTCCTGTCCCCGCTGCGATTCCCGTCCCTGCTGTTCCCATTCCCATTCCCCCATAACCCCATTCCCTCTGTAATCCCCATTCCCCTTCCCCTGTGACCCATTCCATCCCGTGTCCCGTTCCCGTTGCCCCGTTCCCATTCCCCTGTGACCCGTTCCATCCTGTGTCCCATTCCCGTTCCCATTCCCCCGTTCCGTCCCGTGTCCCGTTCCCCCGTGACCCGTGCCGTCCCCTCTGTCCCAGACCCGTCCCGTTCCCATTCCCGTTCCCATTCCCATTCCTGTTCCCGTTCCCCCGTGACCCATGCCGTCCCCTCTGTCCCAGACCACGTCCCGTCCCTGCTGTTCCCATTCCCGTTCCCGTTCCCCCGTGACCCGTGCCGTCCCCTCTGTCCCAGACCCGTCCCGTTCCCATTCCCGTTCCCATTCCCGTTCCCATTCCCGTTCCCATTCCCGTTCCCATTCCCATTCCCGTGTCCCGTTCCCCTGTGACCCGTGCCGTCCCCTCTGTCCCAGACCACGTCTTGTCCCTGCTGTTCCCATTCCCGTTCCCCCGTGACCCGTGCCGTCCCCTCTGTCCCGGACCCGTCCCGTCCCTGCTGTTCCTGTTCCCATTCCCGTTCCCATTCCCATTCCCATTCCCGTTCCCCCGTGACCCGTGCCGTCCCCTCTGTCCCAGACCACGTCCCGTCCCTGCTGTTCCCATTCCCGTTCCCCCGTGACCCGTGCCGTCCCCTCTGTCCCAGACCTGTCCCGTCCCTGCTGTTGCCGTTCCCATTCCCGTTCCCCCGTGACCCGTGCCGTCCCCTCTGTCCCAGACCACGTCGTCGGCGCTGAAGGGCGCCATCCAGCTGGGCATCACGCACACCGTGGGCAGCCTGAGCACCAAGCCCGAGCGCGACGTGCTCATGCAGGACTTCTACGTGGTGGAGAGCATCTTCTTCCCCAGGTCAGCGCTCCCGCTCCCCCCCGGGGGGCCGCGTTCCCCCGGGAGCCCCGGTGCCATTCCGGAACGTTCCGTGTCCCCGCAGCGAGGGCAGCAACCTGACTCCCGCCCACCACTACAACGACTTCCGCTTCAAGACCTACGCGCCCGTGGCCTTCCGCTACTTCCGGGAGCTCTTCGGGATCCGCCCCGACGACTACCTGGTCAGCTGGGCATGCCTTCCCCTTCCCCTTTGCCTTTGCCTTCCCTGGAACTCCCTGGAATTCCCTTTGCCTTCCCTGGAACTCCCTGGAATTCCCTTTCCCTTTTATGTTTTTCCTTCCCTGCGCTTCCCCAGAATTCCTTTTTCCCTCTTCCCTTTTTTTTTTTCTACTTTCTGTTTTTGCCTTTCCTTTTCCTTTTTCTCTTTTCCTTCCTGGAATTACTTTTTCGTTCTCTAGAGCTCCCTTTTCCCTTTCCCTTTTATGTTTTTCCTTCCCTGGACTTCCCTGGAAGTCCTTTGTCCCATTTCCCCTTTCCTTTTTTGCCTTTCTCTTTTCCCCTTTCCATTTTCCCCTTTTTCCCTTTTTCCCTTTTGTTTTCCTTTTCCATTTCCTTCCCCTTCTCTTCCCTTTTTCCCTCTCCTCTCCTCTCCTCTCCTCTCTCTTCCTTTTCCCCCTTTTCTTTTCCCACTTTCCCCCCCTTTTTCCTCCATTTTTCTCCCTTCCTCTCCCATATTTTGGGACACCTTTCCCCTTTTCCCTCCCCACATTTCCCCTCGCGCTGCCACCCAACCACTCCTGGCTGCCCTTCCCTGCTCCAAACCATTCCCCTGCTCATTTTGAGCAGGAAAATCCCATTTCCCCCAATCCCCTGCTGTTCCCAGGAAATCCCCAATTCACCAATTCCCAATCCCCTGCTATCACCAGGAAATCCCAATCCCACAGCTCTCCCAGGAAATCCCCAATCCCAGTCCCCTGCTGTTCCCAGGAAAACCCCAGTCTCCAATCCCCAATCCCCCTGCTGTCCCCAGGCAATCCCTGATCCCCCATTCCCAATCCCCCATTCCCATTCCCATTCCCAGTCCCGGGCTGTCCCCAGGCAATCCCCCATTCCCCATCCCCATTCCCATTCCCAATCCCCTGCTGTCCCCAGGCAATCCCCCATCCCCATCCCCCATCCCCATTCCCATTCCCAGTCCCGGGCTGTCCCCAGGCAATCCCCCATCCCCATCCCCATTCCCAGTCCCGGGCTGTCCCCTCCCCAGCCCCACGCGTGTCCCGTGTCCCCGCAGTACTCGCTGTGCAGCGAGCCCCTCATCGAGCTCTCCAACTCGGGCGCCAGCGGCTCGCTCTTCTACGTCTCCAGCGACGACGAGTTCATCATCAAAACCGTGCAGCACAAGGAGGCCGAGTTCCTGCAGAAGCTCCTGCCCGGCTACTACATGGTGAGAGCGCCCGGAATTCCAGAGGTTCCTGGGAATTCCCGGCCCTGGGAATCCGGGAAATCCCTGCGGAGTGCCCCCCGTGGGGCTGGGCTCTCGCCCTCCTGGGTGTGAGCCCTTTCCCAGCCCAAAACACCATGGAAAACACCAAAAAAATCCGTGGAAAACCCCAACAATCCATACAAAACCCCCAAACCAGAGGGATCTGGATGATCTTCCCAAGTTATATCTGCAGTTTTGAATGATTTCTGACTCCAAAACCCTAAAAATTAATGGAAAATGCCAAAAAATCCATGGAAAAACCCCAACAATCCAAACAAAACCCCCAAACCAGAGCGATTTTATGTTCTTCCCACATTTTATTTACAATTTTAATGCATTCCCAACTCCTAAACCCCAAAATGCATGGAAAACCCCAACAATCCAAACAAAAGCCCCAAACCAGAGGATTTTGATGTTCTTCCCACGTTTCTTCTGTGATTTTGACACATCCCCAACCCCAAAACCCAAAAAGTCTATGGAAAAACCTCACAAATTAAAGAAAACCCCCAAACCAAAGGGATTTTGATGCTCTTCCCACATTTTACCTGCGATTTTGACGCATCCCCAACCCCAAAACCCCAAAAATCCATGGAAAACCCCCCACAATCCATACAAAACCCCCAAACCAAAGGGATTTTGATGCTCTTCCCACATTTTACCTGCGATTTTGACGCATCCCCAACCCCAAAACCCCAAAAATCCATGGAAAAACTTTCACAATCCATACAAAACCCCCAAACCAAAGGGATTTGATGCTCTTCCCACATTTTATTTACAATTTTGACGCACCCCCAACCCCAAAACCCCAAAAATCCATGGAAAACCCCCCACAATCCATACAAAACCCCCAAACTAGAGGGATTCGATATTCTTCTCATATTTTATGTGTGATTTTGACTCATCCCCACCCCCAAAA